TTCCAGCTCGACGTCGCCTCTTCACCGTCATCGTGGTGATGTCCCAGCGGTGTTCGTGGTCAGGTGGATGTCAGGGTCGAGCCCCGGCAGGTCTTCATCCTCCTTGGCTTCGTCGTACAACAGGTCGTCGTTGACCTTGTCAAACACCGTGGTGAAGGCAGCAGGCGGTAGGCAGGCGTGGAAGCTCAGCCGCTCCGGTGGCCATCGAGCTCGACCTGTGCGTCGCAGCTCAGGCTTCGTGATCGGCACTTCCACCACGTCGCTTTCGGTGGACTCCTTACCCGCCGACTGCTCCCCTTCCTCGTCGACGTCCTCGTTGTCGACCAGCTGCTTCAACCCGTCGTCTGGCTGCTCGTCTGCTGCTGACTTCGACAGCTCCCTTGTCGACCGCTCCGGCTGCTGCTGCCTCCTGTTCGACCGGCTCCCCTGTCTGCTTCTCCCCTGTTGTCGACGGCTTCCCATCCTCGTCGACAAGCTTGGCGCCTTTTTGACCGCCGACGATGCCATGGGCTGGCGCCACAGGCGACGCCCCAAGGCTCCCCTCATCGTCAGTGGTCGACGCAGGTGCCGACCCAGGCTGATCTGTGACGGGGAACGGAGGAGCAAGGACAGGGGGAGGGGGAAGAACCTCCACAACATCCTCATCACCAGGCTCGTCGACTTCGGCGAGCAACGGAATTGTCGCCGTCGAGGTGTCCGACGGCAGGTGCACCTGCGTCCGCCCCGATGCCGGCCCATACGTCGCCTTCCACACCTCCAGCGATAGGATCTCGTAGAAGTTCACCTCGACCAACGTGGCCACCTTGTTGTCGGCCACGTCGAGCACCTCCCAGCCCTTGCTCTCCGGCGACACACCCAGGTCAAGTCCCCAGCGAGCCTTTGGCGCCAGCTTCCCACCACGTTGCTGCTCGGGAACCATGAACTGCACCATGCAGCCCCACACCCGCGCCAGTGTAAGATCGGGCTTCTGCTCGGTCAGCAGCTGGTACGGCGTCGTCCCTGGCGGCGCCGTCAACCGCTCCAAGCAGTTGCGCACCCAGACCGCTTTTAGTAGAGCAAGGTGCCACCAATGGTGCTGCACGCCCATGTATAGCAGCATCGTCCGCACCGACTCGACGGCCGTGCGCATCTCCCGCTGAGCCATGCCGTTTCGCTGTGGAGTATAGGGGCACGTAAGGTCGTGGACAATGCCCTTCCCGTCGACGAAGTCGGTGAACTCCTTCTTGAGGAACTCCCCTCCTCGATCGGAGCGAAGCGACAGCACTGACTTCTTTGCCTGTCGTTCCACAAACACCAACCACTTCTGGAACTCCCGCAGCACCTCGCTCTTCCTGGCGACCAGCATCTCCCACACAAACCGAGTGAAGCGATCCTTCAGCAGCAGGAAGTACAAGCTGCCATCCTTGGCAGCCACCCAAAATGGCCCGCACAAGTCAATGTGCACAACAGCCAGTGCCTCCTTGGCGTCGGAGCCCTTGGCGGGGAAGGTGTGTCGCGCCAGCTTTCCTCCGACGCACGAGACACACGGCGCGTCTGCTCCGGTCGACGGCGTGATGTCGAGCCCTGTAGCCACTTCATGCCAGGCCGAGCTCTTGATCGTGTCGACGCCGACGTGCGTGAGCCTTGCATGCAACAAGGCAGGGGTCGTCTTCGTCGCTGAGACAATCGTCCGTAGAGCCACCAGTTCAGTCGACGGCGACCGCGTCAAGAAGGGGCGAAGGTCGGTGCAGAGGACTCGTCCGGTGTAGCGCGCTCTACCGAGCACCTCCCTGGTCGCGGCGACGAGCAGCATCTCGTCGCCATTGCCCTGCAGCAGCATTCCGCTCTCCTTCAGCTGGCCAGCAGATAGCAGGTTTGCCTGTAAGCTTGAAACGTAGAGTACGTCGCGGATGAGGACCCGCTTCCCGACCTCCCCTTGCAGAGCGACCGTTCCACGACCGTCGACAAGCTGCAATGCCCCGTTGAACCCACGTACGTGCTTCACCCCGTCGCTCGGCCCCATGTCGACAAAGACCGACTTTGTCCCCATCAGGTGGTGGGAGCACCCACTATTGAGCAACACCGCCATCGGGTTGGCCTGCACAGCTGCCGCCACCGCCTGGAAGTCCTCGCCAGCCTTCGGCGCCAGCGAGACCGTTGGCTCTACCACGCCGACCATCAAGCACGACGCCTCCCCGTCGCCTCGACTCTTGCCGCTGGAGCTGTCGACGTCCTTCGTTGACGACATCTTCTTCGACGCTTGCTTCTCCTTGCGCGGCTTCTCATCTTTACAGGGGCGACGACTGGCCGATCGACCATGGCCTCCCTTGTTGTCGGCCTCGTCGCTGTCATCGCATTCAGGGCACTCGAAGGAGAGATGGTCGGGGTCGCCGCACATCCAACACTCCCGTCGTCGACCACCACCTCGTCGACCCTTGTCCCGCGTCGATCGCTTCTCGTTGACGTCCTACTACCTCCGCCCGGCTTTCCGCGCTGCTCCTGCTGACGATTGGACTTTGTCGGTGCAGCGTAACTCGCCTGCGGAAGGAACTCTGTGGGCTGTTCTGCCTCCTGCATCGCCTCATCCTGGAGAATGTAGCTGGTGATGGAGTCCTCGTCGAGGGACTCACGTGTGCCGGGCTATCATCATCCTCTTCATGAGATTGTAGCTGCGCGGCACGCCCTTGACGATGTGGGTGATGTAGGACGCCGTCGAGTATTCGGCGCCCGCCATCTGCATCTCAGCTAGGATCCGTTGAGCACGGTTGCAGTAATCTGTCGCCGACTCCTTCTCGCCCATCCGAATGTGAGTCATCTTCTCCTTCAGCTGCCTGATGTACAGGTCATCCCTGACCTGGTACGTCGACATGATGAAGTGCCATGCCTGGTGACCAGCATCGAGTCCCTCTCGACAGCTCCTGTGCGCCAGCTGCACCTGCGGCGAGCAGCACCTCGAGATGACCATGAAGGTGAGCAAGTGAGCTGCTCGAAACTCCCCGCGCAGCTCGACATCATCCACGGGCGGAATTGGCACTGTGCCGTCGGTGAAGCCCTTCAGCCCGTCGACCTCCAGCTGAGGTTCGATTGACTCCCTCCAGGTGATGAGGTCCCTTTGACCTTGCAGCGGTGCGACGGTGATCCGGTCCGGTGAGAACTTAAAGTAGCCATACGCCAGTGCAATCCCGCCTGCCGTCACATGCGTCGTCGCCGAGAGCCCCCCATCGCTTCGTAGAGGAGAGCGACGTTGAACATCGACGTTGGCACGCGAGCTGCGTGCAGCCGCCGTCGACCGCTGCACTCTTGCCTGGATTCCGTCAACACCACCGTCGACCTTGATCACCCCTCTCTGCCTCGTGGCTTGACTGCTGCTGACTCATGCACCATTGTCGACCTCGTTGCGCACCGGTCGAGGAGAAGCAGGACGGGAAGGGTGTTCCGTCGCCCACTGCGATCGGATGCCCAACTCGGCGATCACCAAGGGGATCGTCTCGTACTCGCCATCCGCGTGACGTCTCCTCGCATCAGCCAAACGTGCCTCCAAGGTGTTCGCTACGCCTGCATCAATTACGGGGTCGACCATGGCGACTAACGCTGCTTCCGGCCTACGAACGACTTAGTAGGTGCAAAAGTCGGCTCCTATCTAAAGGTAATTTGCAGGGTCGTCCACGCTCACTAGACCATGTGGAGAGTCACTCTACAACGGTAGTGAGCTAGACTACGGGGTTGGCACGAACAACTAGGAGTGATCGTAGCTTTGCTTGGGTTCCTTAGCACTTGCACATTCACGGGAGAAGTTGGCAACAGTTGGAATTACTGAATGATTCAACAAGCGATGGCAACAATGACTACATCAGGCACCTAGCAACCCTACTGCTAGCCTGGTCGACCGCCAGCACAGCTCGGTCGACCGCGTGCCTGCGTTGCGTAGAGGAGCCGCGCCAGCACTGCAGAAGGGCGACCTGCCAACAGAGCAGGTCGACGGCGTGCCAACGTTGCAGCAGAGCGGCTGTCCAGCGTTGCCCCGTAGAACACAGTAGTGTGCACGCTCACAGATGCGCGCAGACTATTGGCCCAACTTGCCTCGTTGGGCATCCGTCGGCTGTTGTCTGCGCCTGACAAGCCACATCGACTCTGGGATACCAGCCCGCAGTCGCCTGCGCCATCGCATCCTCGACGACGTTTGCGTGCCTCCGCAGAACTCGTCGAGCAGGTTTCCTGGTCGACCCGGTCGACCACCAGGTGCTTTCGGTCGACCACCACTGCTTCTATTCGACCACTAGGTCCCTCTTGTCGACCACCAGGTGCCTCTGGTCGACCACAACTCCCATCGAGCTACCCCCTGGTTGGCGGACCCCTTCCGTTGACCGAAACAGTCAGCGGTTGTCGCCAAGCTTCCCTCGTCGACCGCTGCTCACTTGTCAGGTCGACAGACTGCTCCGTCGACCTCCCGGGCGAGCTGTAGGTCGACGGGATGCTCGGAGACCTTCTGGTCGAGCTGCAAGTCGATGGGATGCTCGGAGACCTTCCGGTCGAGCTGTAGGTCGATGGGATGCTCCGTAGACCTCCCGGTCGAGCTGCAGGTTGATGAAATGCTCCGGAGACCTCCCGGTCGAGCTGCAGGTCTTGGTCGACGTCCCACTCGTCTCCCAGACCAGTCAGATGCAGCTGTCGAGCTCCGTGGTCAACAGCAACACCACAGCGGTCCCCTGCAGCTCAACGAAGCCTGTCGAGCAGCTCTCCCTCTGTGAACGGCCGGCTGCTACTCCTGTATATCCGACCAAGTCGTTGACGTTGCCCAAGCGAGGGCGGGGCCAACACTCCATTCCCGTTAACAATCCTTGCACGATGTGACTGCCGACCGCGGTCCTCATCCTTGCTCTCTGCACTATTGTTTGAAGAAAGTGCTCGCCACTGTCCGGGATAGGGACTCTGGCTCCGGTTTGCTAGCAATGAGCGCGTTGCTCTGGGCTGTGAGGCGGATGGATCTCCTGATCAGCGCCCTCCGTCGCAGTGTCACCAGTATGGACAAGGTCTACGTTTCGGGGTTGAAGGGGCTGCGGACTGAGATGGTAGCCTACATCAAGAAGCAAGTGGCGCGCAAACAGGAGGGCCAGGTCGGAGTTGCTTCCGACGCCTGTGACAACGATGGTGAGGAGATCCATTCGGCATTCCAAGCAGTCGGTGTCGCCCCCACTGTCGCTGATGCGCATGGGACCTCGATCGGAAAGCCGGGAGGCGGCGTCGACGAGGATGATGCGGAGGCAGGAAAGGGGGTGACTGGGATTGAGGAGAAGCACCAGGACGAGGCTATTCATGAGCATGATGATCGGGTCTGGGATCGTGAGGAGGGTCGTGAGGAGTCGGAGTCAGAGTCGGAGTTGGAAGGGGAGGAGGAGGAAGAGGAGCAGGAGAAGCAGGACGAGGAGGAGGAGCATAAGAAGTAGGAGCAGGAGAAGCAGCTAGAGGGGGAGCAGGAGGAAGAGGTGGAGTGGGAGGTGGAAGAACAGGAGGAAGAACTGGAGTTGTAGTATGAAGCTGATGGAGCGGCGAAAACGGGTGGGAGATCGGCGGACGTTGAGAACGAGGAAAGGGAGGGGAAGGGTGCGATGTCAGCGGATCTTGAAAAGGAGAAAGAGGAGGTTGGCGTGGAGGCGGTTCACGGGGCGAGTGGGAAGGTCGTGGTCGGCGATGGGAAGGAAGTTGTAGACCTCGAGGCCGTTGGAGAAGGGGATAATGCTGCGGCCACGAAGCAGACGGGCGTGGAAGTGCCTCACGGGGGGGAGCAGTCAAGGAAGAAGAAGGCGGCGAGCGGCCACCCCGGTTCCACCGCAGCTGGTCGGCAGGCGCGGCTGGACGTTGTCGAGCAGCTGCGAGCGCAGAACAGGCGATTGCGGGCCGACAATGCACGCTTGGAACGGCGGCTCGGTGAAAAGTCGAGACGGGTCGACAGCTTGGTGTCGGCGTTAGCTGGGGTCCTCGACAAGCTCAAGGCTTTGACCGCCCAGGTAGCCGATACCGACCTGAACTCGGCGAAGTGCCTTGAAGACGCCACGTCGACCATGGCGACCACCATCACCGACAACCTCACTCACAACATGGCCAGCGCAATTGAAGCTAGCAAGTCATTTGCCAAACTTGCGGTCAAGATGTTGCGGGATCATGACGACCCCAACGGAAGAATGGCGGACGAACGCGCAACTGCGGTGAACGCATTGGCCGATCACGTGACGAAAGAGGTGGGTGAGGCGAGGAAGGCTTTGGAGGCGACAATCATTAAATACATCGGCGCCGCGCAGACCAATATTGCAGCCGCCGTCACTCCCCGCCTCATCGTGCAGCAGCCGCCGGTGCCTATCGCCCCAGCGCAAGCCTTGCCAGAAGAGCTAATGAAGACCTTCAAGGAGGATGTGCTGAAGGCGGTGACGGAGGCGACGCAGCAGCCGTTTCTCGCCTCCGGATTGAAGATAATGACCGAAGTGGTCGGCACGGTGGCGCCTGCTCGGCGTGGGTCGTCGCCGTCGGCGAAGCGCATCCAAAGGAGGCCCAGAAGCAGGGTCAAAGAGGGGGCGGCGGAGGCGGGGGAGACGGAGAAGACGCCATGAGCGTGAGGCGTAGCAAGGGAGCTGGCGGGTCCCGCGTTGGCGGCGAAGGCAGCAAGGGAGCTAGGGAGACTGGAGCTTGAGACAGTTCGGCAAAGTGCTGGGGGTCCCGCCAACCAGAACGCCACCGTGCCGAGTGCTCCGCCTTTTGGTCTCCGAGAAGCCACGAACTCAGGGGAGCGGAGGGAAAGGGTTGAGCCACAAGGAAATCCCCGCCGCCAAAACGACCCCAGGCGGTGCTGCCAAAATTGGCAACGGGCCGAATGCCAAGATAGCGGAGGTGACATCGGTTCCTAAACAGCCTCTCGCGGGTGCACGCTCTCCGACTGGCGCGTCTGCTGACGTCCCGTCTGCCGACAAGAATGGCTGCGCGGGGAAAGGGGTGGCCGCTGCGAACGCGCTCAAGGACCAGCTCAGGCTCCTTGCGAGCCACAGGGCTGCTCAACATCCTCCCCCCCCTGTCGATGCACGCCTTGCCAAAACAACAGCTGGCTTTGAAGCCCCCATCGTCGCCGTGCCATCTGCCAGTGTGCCACGTGTAGCGCCGGCCGTCGCCGCTCGTACTCCTGCAGACCCAAAGTCCGCTTTGCTGCGCGCCCAGTTGGGCATGCGAGGGTCGACTGTGCCAACTCAGCAGGCAGCTGGCTCTAGCGCGACGCCGACATCGGGGAATGTCGCAGCACCCAGTCCGGTGGCGGCTGATGTCGAGAAAGCGGCGGAGAAGGGTGTGCGTGCCGCGATTGCTTCAGGCAGCGGCCCTGTTGAGGAGGTTGCCCTCGACACGGATATTGCTGTCATACAGGCCCACCTGGATGCGGCCAAACCCCGAACACTGTCCATATCGGGCACAGCACATGTGAGTCCCGCTGATGGTTCAGCGGAGCGTAAAATGACTGTTGATGCCGTCGGCGAGGGAAATGCAAAGCGGAAGGGGAAGGCGGGCTCGTAGAGGAAAACACGGGAGAAGTCGGAGGTGAAGGCGGCGGATAAAGGGAAGGAGCAGGCGGGGGAGACGGCGGCGGATAAAGGTGGAGGCGGGAAGGTGATGTTGTTGGAAAGAGAAAGCGGGAGAGAATCAGGAGAAGTCGGTCGGCGAGGGTACGTCGACAGGGAGAAAGGGGAAGGAGAAGTCGGTCGGCGAGGCTACGTCGACGGGGAGAAAGGGGAAGGAGAAGGCGGTGGAGAAGAGGAAGGAGGAGGAGGAGGAGGAGGAGGAGTAGGAGGAGGAGGAGGAGGTGGAGGAGGAGGAGGACGAGGAGGAGGAGGAGGAGGAGGTGGAGGAGGAGGAGGAGGAGGAGGAGGAGGAGGAGGAGGAGGAGGAGGGGAAGGACAAGGCGAAAGCAAGGAGAGGTCATGGCATCTACCACGATAGCTCGGGCGACGGGCAAGGGTGGGTCGGCGAGATTAAGGTGCACGGCATTGATCGGTACATCGGCAAGTCGCGCGAGAAGATGCAGCTCGCGTATGTGCACTCCATCGCGTACGTCATCTACGGCGGTTTCGTAAGCAAGGTGCTCATGGATGAGCTCATCGGCTTGGACACTGCCGAGTTGGAGAGGTGGAGGAAGGTGTGGGAGGAGGTCAAGATCTTGCCAACAGGGATGTGGACGGTGATGTGGGCCCGGGGTGTGCTCCTTCCAAAGACACGGTAAGTCGGATACCCTTCGGCCCCAAGTCGAGAGATGGATAATGACGTTGTCACTTATGTTCGTTCTGTTTGATGTGCTTGCGTGACGGGCTCAATGATATTCCCGACAAGTATCAAGAGTACAAGAGCTCAGGCGATGCGCTCCACGACGCGCTCTGGCCGGCGATGTGGTTCCCCGTCGAGGGGGTGCCAGAGGAGAAGTCGTCGGCGATGATGTCGGCCATCATAGGTCGCGTGTCCATGTGCGTTGCGTATGGGAAGACCGCTGCGAGCGCGTCGAAGAAGGAGGGAGACGAGGAGGAGAATACGGCGATGGTGGCATTGGCGTTAGCGGCATCCGCATGCGCCGTCTGGTGCTTTGTCAAGAACGACGACGCCCAGGTGGTCGATGCTGTGGAAGAAGGGAAGGCGGCGGCACTTATAGCCGGTGCAAGCGAGAAGACCGCCAAAGTATTCGAAACTGTCATGGCGGCGATGCTGAACGCTGAGATCACCCGGGACCGCGCCCTGGGGGAGGTTGCCTTCAACGTCGCGCCAGTGCTGCAGAGTCTTGCCCTGCAGAGGGTCTATCTAGGGGGGAATGCTGAAGTCGATGCCAAGGTGGTCGCTAGAGCGGCGGTGGAGACCATGGCGTTCTGGGGAATGTGCATCGTCACCGGCCCAAAACTCAAAAAGAGGAGTATCGCGGTGCCGTGTGACACGCAGATGAAGGCCGATCTTGACAACAGGGGGAGGAAGGGTCAGAGGGGGAAGCAGGGGACGAAGGGGAAGAAGGGCAAGGACAGCACGGGGAAGAAGGGGAGGAAGGGCAAGGACAGCACAACAGCATAGTTGGCGTGCGGCTAGAGTGCTAGGTGGTCTGCTTGCTAGGATTCAGTGCTGTTTTGGTCGATGTCGTTTTGTTTTGAATTTCATCTCTCGGATATCTTTGATGCTCGTGTAGTGGTTTTTTGTGTGCGTGATTGTCGACTTTACGTAGGATGTGAAATGGACCATTCAACAACAAGATGAGCCAGAACACCATGTGTCCATGCACCCCGGCCTCTTGCCAACCATTTTTTTTTGCGCGGCGTAATGTTCATATGTCGCTGTCCAAATGCATGTCGAGGCCGACGTCATGAGTGTACGGGTTGTGTGTGCGATGCCGCCGGGTTGCAATGTGAGAAGCACACAATCATGCTACAAGTGGTTGCAATCGACAACTTTTACAATGTCAAAACGGGCGTTGAAGTCGACAACTATAACGGTCTGAAAACTATGAAAGCTGCATCATCATCTATAACATGCAAAATCCCACAGTAACATGTCGCCGAGAGTATTTACGTGGTCTTCTTGCGCTTGGTCGACGTCTTGGTCGGGGGAAGCTGCACAACGTCCTCCCAGGCCATGTCGGCCAACGTCATCTTCATCTGCTCCTTCCAGGTGTCCGGGAACAGCTCGGCGACCCACTTTTCCGGCTTCAGCCCGCGAGCCATGAACGCACAGGCGACACGAAGCTTGGAAACTTCCCTCTTGCCGAGCCCCTTGACGCCCTTACCCGGCTCGGAGTACGTTGCTACAGTGTCCGCGTTGAGCACAGTGAGGGCATCCGAGAAGGTCCCAATGCCACGCGCCGCGATCTTGTTAAGCGCAGCGACGACGGCTTCTGTTTCGGCCTCACCATCGCTCCGGGGAAGATGGCGCACTGCATTAATGACCTTCATCATGCGGCGCACCCTTTTCCCGAGTGCTCCATGCGTCGCGCCTTTGAGGAGGGTGTGGCGGTCGACAAATCCCGGCTTTGCGAACCTGTCGCACAGACGACGTGTGTCCTCGGCGCTAGTGCAGGAAGTTTAGAGGCGCCACGCATCCCTCACGGTCATTGCATCCCGCCAAGGCTGCACCACGTTGAGCTCGTAACTAGCCTCTTCGACCGTCTGTGGGAGTTTTGGGGGTTTCTTGGCTCTGGCACCCGAACTTGCCTAGTCCGCGGAGCCACTGGCGCTTCGGCGACTACTCGTTCGCAGATGGCGGCGCCTCTGGCATCCTCCTTGCTTTTGAGACGCGGAGTGCCTCGGTGAGACGGGTTATCTCGGCCGTCAGCATCGCGATGGTGGTGTCACGCTTCTCGATATCCTCTTCGAGGTCAATCTTCTGGACCGCTGACCGTTCCCTCTCGTACTTCAGGGTCTCGGTGAGCGACATGACCACATTTTCGGCGTCCATGTGGACAGATATCTCCTGCAATGGTCGGCGATTGACGTTGAATGTGAAGGGTTGTTGCGTTCACTAGGCTTAGGGCGACGTTGACTTGATCAATGGCTCACCTCAGGCTGAATGAGGGTCGGGTCTCGGCTCTATTTATCGTCTCGGTGTCGACCTTCTCGACCCTCTTTGCCCAGTGCTGGAAGAGGGGAACCCTACATAGCTTGGAATATTGGACGTACAGATGTGTCAGAATATAGCTTATGCTTTTGTGTAGGCTCTAGTGGGGTAGCCCATATAGGGTACAACCCAATCAGGGTTAGTACTTGTACCCAACTCTTTCATAGTGCATTCATTCTCGTTTCAAATTTCTCATGGTATCGAGCGGGTTCCCTCGTGGGAACAGTTCCTAGGGCCCACCGATTCATTTTTTTTTCATGCCCGGAGCGCGCTCAGCCCTTGCCCGAGTCGCGCTCCCCCTTTCTCACTGTGTCGAGCCGCCCTAGCGGCTGTGTCCCGCCGCCCTTGCCGGCCCCGATTCGCCGCCCTTTCGGCTCCGTCGCCTACCCCGCGGCCCTCGCGCCGCCCTTCCCGACCCGGCCCCGACCCTGCGGCCCCGTCGCCTACCTGCGGCCCCGCCGCCTACCTGCGGCCCCGCCGCCTACCTGCGGCCCCGTCGCCTACCTGCGGCCCCGCCGCCTACCTGCGGCCCCGTCGCCTACCTGCGGCCCCGCCGCCTACCTGCGGCCCCGTCGCCTACCTGCGGCCCTGTCGCCTACCTGTGGCCCCGTCGCCGCCCTTCCCGGCTCAGGCGCCGCCCTTTCTCGGCCCCGACGCCGCCCTTCCCAACCCGGCCCAGTCTCTGCTGGCCCCGTCGCCTACCGTAGGGCCCCGGCGCCGCCCCTTCCCGGCCCCGGCTCAGCCCCTGCTGGCCCCGTCGCACGCCCTTCCCGGCCCCGACCCCGCCTTCACGCGGCTCCGCCGAACTACTGCCGAGCCGCCAGCGCCACCCGAGCGGCCGCGCCACCTGAGCCGCCCGAGCCGCCGTCCCACCGAGCCGCCTAAGCCGCCCGAGCCGCCCAAGCCGTTGTCCCGCCGAGCCGCTCAAGCCGCCCGAGTCGCCTGAGCCGCCCGAGCCGCCCGAGCCGCAAAGTAGCCGAGCCGCCGAGCTGCAGTTCCTACCAAGCCGCCGAGCTGCAGTTCCTCCCGAGCTACCAAGCCGCCGAGCCGCCCGAGCCGCACTGTCTGGTAAGAGCAGCGCCTCTGTCACTGCACTACCCTTACCCCACTATTCGCGCTACTAGTCTACTGCTGTCATGGCTACCCCTAGTGTCCTCGCTTTTGACGCTGAGGGTCGGGCCATTGACTTTGATGTCTAGGTAGATGACCTGCAGCTTTTCCTACAGTGCGATAGGGCAGACGGTCTCTCCATCTTTGATCTCACCTCTGGTGCCTCTCCTGCCCCTGCTGCTGATGCTGACGCCACTCTTCGCTCACAGTGGGCAACACGCAATGCTGCTGCACGTCTTGCTATGCGTCGCCACCTGCCTACCTCTGAGCGTGCGCACTTTAGCCAGTACAAGAGTGCTCAGACCTTGTACGACGCTGTAGTTGCACGCTACTCCTCCCCTACCACTGCTGCACTGAGCCGCCTCATGCTACCGTACCTCTTCCGTGACCTTGCTGCCTTTCCCACAGTCGCTGACCTCATTACGCACCTCCGCACTAGTGACACTCGCTACCGCACTGCGCTTCCTGCTGATTTCTGCGCCAAGAACCCCCCCCCCCCATGTACATCACTCTCTACTACATAGTCACTCGGCTCCCTGACTCCCTTCGCGTAGTCAGGGACCACTTCCTCTCAGTTTGCGCCACCACCCTCACCATTGACCTCCTCGAGAAGGCCGTCCTAGCAACGAAGACGAGCATAGTCGCTGTAGGAGCCTCTCGTGGTGACCCTCGCACCCCCATCTTTGAGGGGTGTTCCCCTTCCCCCCTTTTGCCCTCTGTTGCCTCCGCTGCTGCGGCCGACCTCGTTGGGCTTGAGGCGGTCGGTGCGGCGTCTACCCCTAGCGGGAGACGCCGCCCTGGCAAGGCCAAGGAGGGCAGGGGCGCTGGAGGAGCTGACGAGGCCGGTGGAGGCGGCGGTGGAGGCGGCGGAGGGAGTGGGGGTGGCAGTGGGGGTGGTGGCGGGGGTGGAGGTGTCGGTGGCGTCAGTGGAGGTGGAGGAGGCGACGGTGGCGGTGGGAGCGGAGGTGGTGGCGGAGGTGGCGGCGGTGGAGGAGGCGGTGGCGGAGGAGGTGGAGCTGGTCGGGGTAGCACTGCGCAGAGGGTCGGCTCCGGTGGAGGTCAGCGCCAGCAGCAACAGCAGCAGCAGCGCACTCGTGACATCCCCTCCCCTCAGCAGCTCCGTGAGTGGTACAGTGCACGCCAGCGGGGTGGGGGTACTGGTCCGTGCACCTTCGTCCTACGCACCGGCGACCGCGCTGGTGAGCATTGCGCGGGTGCGCACTCCACCCAGCGCTGCTTTGGCCGCCTGATGGACGCTTGGCGTCACTAGTTCCCGGAGGCCACGGAGATCCCCCGCTGGGATGAGCTGTCTAGGGCGGGAGTAGCTGTCTTTGGCCTTGACTTTGATGCTATTCTTGCTGCCATGTATGCTGTGACTATTAGTGATGAGGGTGACTGTTACTGGTGTTTTCCGCCCGACCCGGGCATTGAGATTGCCGCTCTAGGTACTGGTGAGGCTGCTGCTCTAGGTGCTAGCGAGGCTGCTGCTCTAGGTTCTCGTGCGTCTGCTCCCTCAGGTGCTGGTGAGTCTGCTCTCTCAGGTACTGCGTCGGCTTCGGCCTCTTACACCTTCACCCTTGACTCAAGGGCTTCGCGCTCTCTCTTTTGAGACCGCACCACACTCACGCCGCTTCGCCGGCCAGTTGCAGTCTCTCTGGCAGACCCCTCTGGGGAACCTGTCCTTGCTCACTACTCCATTGTCCTCCCGTGTCCGGCGGCCCCCTCTAGCACCTTGTCTGGTCTTTACCTCCCCTCGTTCTCTATGAACTTGGTGAGTGGTGCTGACCTACAGGATGCGGGGGTTCACCAGTTCACTCCTGCGCGTCAGCGGGTGACCCACTGCACGAACGCTTGGACAGGCCGACACCTGGCCACGTTTACACGTCGGCCGGGGTCGAGCCTGTACACACTGACCACTGCGTCTCCTCCACTCACTGCGTCTGGTCAGGTAGCTGCGTCGGGTCAGGTGTTTGCTGCAGCGTCCAAGTCTGGTCCTGAGTCTGCCCCCTGCTCGTGTCGCCTCCTGTCTCACGAGACTCTCCTCTGGCACCACCGCCTTGGTCACCCCTCCCTGCTTCGTCTTCGAGGCATGGCCTCCCGTGTCCTTGTCTCTGGTCTTCCCTGGTCCCTCCCTCCCCTTCCTCCTGGGCCTGGCCCTACCTGCGTCCCCTGTGTCGAGGGGCGGCAGTGGGCTGCCCCTCACTCCTCCCAGTTTCCTCCGACAGAGGCCCCGCTGCAGACGCTTCACATGGACGTGTGGGGCCCGGCCCGCGTCCGTGGACAGGGTCACGAGCGCTACTTCCTGCTGGTGGTTGACGACTACTCGCGTTATACCACACTCTTCCCCTTACGCAGCAAGGGTGATGTCACTGAGGTGTTGATCGACTAGATCCGCGCAGCTCGTCTCCAGCTCAGGCAGAGTTGCGGCTCAAACTTACTTGTTCTGCGTCTGCACTGTGACAGAGCCGGAGAGTTCTCCTCTGGCCTTCTGCGAGCCTACTGTCATGCACGAGGCATCCACCAGACCTTTACGCTTCCGAACTCCCCCCAGGAAAATGGGATTGCTGAGCGCCGCATTGGCATGGTCATGGATGTCGCTCGTACGTCCATGATGCATGTGGCTGCCCCCCATTTTCTGCGGCCGTTTGCGGTTCGGTACGCGGCACATCAGATCAACCTTCACCCCAGGGTCTCCATGCCGGAGACCTCCCAAGCTTTGCTGTGGACGGGGAAGTTTGGCGATGCGTCTGCGTTCCGTGTCTGGGGATCTCGGGCGTTTGTTCGCGACTTGTCTGCGGACAAGCTGTCCCTTCGTGCTGCTCCCTGCGTCTTACTTGGCTTCCCCCCTGACGCACCAGGGTGGCAGTTCTACCACCCCAACTCTCGCCGTGTTCTGTCCTCCCAGGACGTCACGTTTGACGAGTCTGTCCCCTACCGCATTCCGTCCCTCCCCCTGCCGCCGCTCTTCCTTGTACCACGTCCCCCCCCGGTAGACCCCCTCCCCCCTCAGGGTCTTCTCGAGGTTACTGGTGACTCTGGTGCTGCTGAGGGTGCTGAGCCTGGGGGTGCTGACTCTGGGGGTGCTGAGCGTGTGGGTACTGCGCCTGGGGGTGCTGGGCCTGCGGGTGCTCTTACTAGGGGTGCTGAGCCTCGGGGTGCTACGACTGGGGCTGCTGAGCCTCTGGGTGCTGCGACTGGGGGTGCTGAGCCTGGGGGTGCTGAGCTTGGG